AGTTGTATTTAATCTGTTTTCTCATTACCTACAAAAGTAGAAGCAGCTCAACAAATACTACAGAATGTATGAACTCCACCTTAAAAGGGAACAAAAAAATGTTAGCCTCCATATTAGAAGCTTTTATCAATCATAAGTCCCCTTTCCTGATGTTCTGGAACATGTGGATGTCTCCTATATCTCAATTCCTATGAACAATATTTCTTTCACCACAGTAATGCATCTTCTTCACTGACTTATTGCTATTATTACATAATATTAAGGTCCAAGAAATTTATGTAATTTTCTATTAAAAGTCTATATGTTATTTAAATGCGATTTGGTTCCTAGGTACTTAATGATTTTCATATTTATTTCTCTAATTTTGTGCCAAATATGTTTTTTTAAAAAGCTGTCAAAGCCAAATTCTGGCTTCCCAAACAATCTATTTGACAGTTTATTAGCTAAATGATTAAGTGCTTTCCTGAACACCAAATAAACAATGTCATAAAATAAACTGCCAGTGTCAATCTGCAATATAATCTTATCATAACAGCTAAGGTTAATTAGGAAGAAGCCCATCCTTCTAAATCCAAATAGGTTTAACATAATAAAGAACAGATCAATTACTAGATATAGGACAAGAACATGAATCTATATAATAGTGATTGAATATTTGGCAATGATGTCAAAAAGTCAAGGTCACCAAACATGACAGATCAATTCTAAGTTTCAAATGTAAATCATAAATAACTAGAAAAATATAAAATTATTTTTGTATGATTGTTCAAACATTATTGATCTAAGCCTTTCAAAGTCAATTTCAAAGCAGGTTTCTCTGTCTACTGCTATGACATGTATTACTGAGTAATAACCAGAATTGAAGAATGAAGATAAAAATGTCTATCTTTATAGAGGGTCCACAAGAAATAATGATTAACCTGAAAAATATGACAACAGAAAATTAATAATTTTAAAAGTGAATATAACAATGGTTTTAAATATCTCTTTAAAAAGGTGAGATATTCATTTTTTAAATGAATATATACAAGCTATCATTTCGTTTAAATATCAAATATTTCCTCCCAAATATGTGCAAAATAAACAATATTTTAGTATATACCATATGCCAAATATTTTGGTAAGCATTTTACATGCATTATTTCACTTTACATGTACAGTAACCATATTAAGTACTATTATGTTCCCACCTAACACTTTTGACAACTTTCACATGCTGATTTTTACCAGTTTTCTAAAATTGTTTATATGTGTTAGCTATGCCTGAAATGTCTTTCCTCCATCAAAGCTCATAATGTAAATCCTTCCTTCCTTCAAGATCCAATTAAAGTGACACTTCCTTCATGAATCTGACTTCCTAGCACCTCCTGAAACCAGAAGCCTGTACTCTCTCCTCAGACTTCCTATAACCTTTTGTACATTTCCTTCTCTAAAATCCATGAATCTGCCTCTTCTTGCTAATATCTTCCTAGTCCTCCTGAGAGTAATAATTGATAGAGGAATGACTGAATGAAGACCTCATGGCTCTTCTAAATAGGTACTTTGCTGAGAACTTTCTAATGTCAAACCCTTATAATAGGTTAACATACACTGTATTTCTCTTTTTGAACTTGTTAGGTATTCATTAGAATTAAGAGAAACCATATGTGGAAAGTAGCTAATATAGTCCTGCAAAAAGAATTCCACTATAGAATTTTCCTAATAAAGCTTAAAATCAAGTCTCAAAATGATTAACCACATGCTCTAGAAAATTTACTGTCTACTTGAACACAACATTCTATTAACAGACCATAAAATCCAGACTCAACAATGTGAGCTCAATAATGTCCATCATCCAATAAGAAATTACTAGATATGTAAAAAAGAAAATACAAGAAAAATCAGTAAATAGGCAGAGTTCCCAAAATAAAATAAAAACACAGATGGAATTACCAGACTGTAAAGCAGAGATTAAAAACAATAAAAATAAATTTAAATATATATAGAGAGAGAAAGATTTAAAGTAAAACATACACACAATGAGAAAACAAATAGGAAATCTCAAGGAAGAAATGAAAACTATTCTATAGGATAGGTTTAGCAGATTAGACACTGATAGAGAAAATATCAGTAAACTTAAAAGTAGGGCACTAGAAACTAACCAAACAGAAGCACTGTAATTGCTGGTACTAACAGACAGGGAATTTTTTTTAAAACTATGATTAATATGTCAGAAGATCTAGTGCAAAAGGTGAAAAACAGATTGGGAATTTTAGCAGAAAAATGGAAATTATATGAGAGCTGCAAGAAATGCTAGAAATAAAAGCCAATGGTAATATGACTTTGAGAGACTCATTAGATTTGACATAATCAAGAAAAGAACCAATGAATCTGAAGATAGGTCAATTGAAACTACCTCAGCTAAAACACAAAGATAAGAAAGAGTGAAACAGAAAAAGAAAACATAAGAAAGCATTGAAAAGCAGTGAGAATATATCAACTAATCTAACATAAGCAAAACTGGACTCCCAGGAGAACAAAGAGAAAAGGAGCCAGGGGGGAAAAAAAACCCCTGCCCCTATGGCACATCATATTCAAATGGCTTAACTTAATGACAAAGAAAAAATACTGAACATGGTGGGTGGGGAATCCAAATTATATACAAAGAAATAAAAGTAAGAATTAGAGCAGAAATTTTGACAAAAACAATGCAAGCAAGACTATGCAGGGACAGATAAAAAATAACTGTTAAGCCAGAAAAATATGTTCATCAAAAATAACTAAAAAATAAAGGATATTTTTTCAGGTTAAAAAAAACTGAGAGAATTCATTTCCAACAGAACTGAACTACAATATTAAAGAGAAGTTCTTCAGCAAGAAGGAATATGACACAAACAAAAACTTGGATCCCCTGGAAAAAAATGAAGATTGCTGAATATGGTTAAAATAAAGGTAGGGGCGCCTGGGTGGCTCAGTTGTTAAGCGCCTGCCTTCGGCTCAGGTCATGATCCCAGGGTCCTGGGATCGAGCCCCACATCGGGCTCCCTGCTCGGCAGGAAGCCTGCTTCTCCCTCTCCCACTTCCCCTGCTTGTGTTCCCTCTCTCGTTGTGTCTCTCTCTGTCCTATAAATAAATAAAATCTTTAAAAAAATAAAGGTAAATATAAAAGATATTCTTTTCTTAATCACACTAAAAAGGATAACTGTCTAAAGCAGGAGTTGTCAAACTTTTTCTTTAGTCAGGTAGTAAACATCTTCAGCTTTGTGGGCCATAAGGTCTCTGTTGCAATTACTCAACTATGCCTTTGTAGCATGAGAAGTAGCCATAAATTATACATTATAAATAAATATGACTAGCTTTGTCCTAAGGGTTGCATTTTTCTAAGGCCTGAAAAATTTGTGGCAACAACATCAAAAAATTGAGAGGGATGAATTGGAAGTATACTATTGTAAGTTTCTGACATTATACATGAAGTGTTACAATGTTACTTAAAGGTAAACTGTGATTAATCAAAAGTGCATATTGTAAACCCAAGGGAAACCCTAAAAATAGTAAGAGGTATAAGTAATAAGCCAATAAGTTAAAGTGGAATCATAGTAAATAATTTAAAAGTAGGCAGAAAAAAAAGTGGAAGAGAAAAACAAGTGAAAACACATAGAAAACAACTAGCAAGTTGGGCATCTTTCAATTAAACTATGTAAAATAGTTACATTAAAGGTAAATGATCAAAACATACTAATGAAAATACAGAGATGGTCAAATTGATAAAGCAGAATCCAAATACATGCTGTTCACAAGAAACCCACTTTACATATAAATAAAGATATAAATAGGTTAAAAGAAAAAGGATGGGGAAAACACACTATGCAAACACAAATCAAAATAAAGCTGAAGTGGCTATATTAATATCAAAGTAGACTTCAGAAGAAGGAATATTACCTGGCATAAAGGGGAAAATTACATAATGATAAATAATTAGATTCACCAAGAAGACATAAAATTCCTAAACATGTACACACTAACAACAGAGCTGAAGTACAAATTGATAGAACTAAAAGGAAAAATATAAAAATCTGCAATTATAGATGGAGATTCCAACACAACTCACTCAGTAATTGATAGAACAACAGACAGAAAATCTCTAAGGATCTAGAAGACCTCAATATCAACTGATTCAACCTAACAACAGCAGGTTCAACACTTTTTTCAAGTGGACATGGAAAATTCAGCAAGATGGACCTTAATCTGTGCCACGAAAAAACCACAACCAAATGAAAGTAACTGATACCATACCAAGTATCTTCTCCATTCATAACAAAATTAGTTATCAGTAACAGAAAGAGATCTATAAAACTCCCAAATATTTGGAGATTAAACAACATACTTCTAAATAGCCTATGTGTCACTGAGCAAGTTGAAAGGAAAATGAGAACATGTTTTGAACTTAATGAAAATAAAAACACAATGTATTAAAAGGTATGGGAAGGTGCTAAAGCAATGCTTGGAGGAAAATGTATAATGGAAAATGCTTGTATTAGGAAAAAACAAACAGTTTTAAATGATTATCTGAGAACAAATGCGTATCTGAGAATAAGAATCCTAACACCTGTGCTCTCTTCCTTTCCACTGGAGTGAATTCTCTTAAGAAAGATACATATGCCCAACAGATAGATTTTCCAAACATATGCACGTGCATTTTGAAGCCAGACATTATAATTAATTAAGATGCATTCCTAAAACATCTGGGCACCAGCCAGGTATCTAATCTAGGAAGTATCACTTTAAACATTAAATGCAACTGCTTTCAATAACATTTTGCTGCCTTCTTCCTTTGAAAGCAAAAATGTCTGCTTCAAAAACGACAGTATTGTAATTCAAAGAAAAGTTGACTTTATTGTATACTATTTATTATTCTTACAGATGAAGATGAAAACAGAAAAAAACACAGTAGGAAAATATAATTAATATGTACAACATAAAATGATAAGGATATGGTCATAAATAATGTGTCTTCAACTTACAGTGACCAATCGTCATCAACTTCCCAAGACTAAAGGAATTCCAGAAACATGGGACTTCAGCGCTGAAACTGAGAAAGTCCTGAGGAAACCAAGACAAGTTGGTGATTCTGATTGAACTATACTCAAGGAATGTTTAAGACATCTAAAATAAGTGAATTAGGCATACCTCTTGAATGAACCAGGAATCTATTTTAACAATTTTAAAAGTAAAATGATCATATCCCTAAAAACAAAGTATTTCAATGTTTGTCTTAAGACATGTGTTAAACTGATTTTCTATTTATTTTCATGGTACCTAGCTATGTGCTTGTTGATTAAATCCACAGGTTATGCTTCATGGCCTCAGTCCTGGGCCCATGGATTCTTCCTAGACCATATCTGTGCATCTCTGCCACCTTTCTGGCTTTTTTCCTCATTTTGTTTGTTTGTGTTTCACAGCTACCACCACTTTCTCTGCTTATTGGCATTACTATCCAAAATTGTTAGCTCAAATATACTTGAAATTCCCAGTTCTGCTTGCCTCCATGTTCCCAAATGTGTTTCACAACAACCAAGGATAAGCCAGCTCCGGACTAGCCTTTCGTTTTTCCTCCTTTTTAGATGATGTAATCAGTGCAGTAGTTCTTAACTGGCATGTAAGTGCCTGCATAGTTGTGTGTAAAACTGTATGGGGGTGGGCTTTGAGGGGTACCAACACCAACAAAAGGGCTTCTACAAATGACACAGACTCCCATCCCCAAAGACTAGTCGAATCCTGAAGAACTGGAATGCAAAGCAGCAGAGAATAATTTGAAAACAACTCACAGTTGTTTCTGATATATCTACCCCTAGCTCCTCAAGCTCTGCCAGCATACAAACGTACATGCACATGCATGCACACACACATACACACCCCTCCCTGGAATCCTAATATAAACCAATTAACTATTTCATTCCTGTTAGTAGGTTCTTCAAACTTCCTTCCTTCCCATCTTGCCTCTTTCCCACCAACAGCCCCCACCACCCCCACCCCACACCCATATTATGAAAGTGTTTCTCTTTGGGCAGAAAACAATAGTGAAATAGCAGGCAATTCAAATGATGTTTGGTTCATCTTAGCAGAACTCTACCATCCAAGTGCCCCCCTTGCAGTCTGACATAGCTCTGAAGAGAGATCATGCTATGCTAAGCCTATTATTAACTCACAATAATCCTAAGAGGTAATTACTGTTATCAGCATCACTTTATAGAGGGGAGAAGTGAGATACAAAGACAGAAAGTAGAGTAGTGTTTGCCAAGGGCTGAGAAAAGGGGATAGAGGGAAGGTATTATTTAATGGGTACAGAGCTTCATTTTGGGATGAAGAAAAAGTTCTGCAGAAGGACAGTGGTGATAGCTGAACCAACAGTATGAATGTATTAATGCTACTGAACCATATATTTAAAATAGTTAATATGGTAAAAATAATAATAGTAGTACTGAACGCAAACAATCATTTCAAATCTTAGTTTGGCTATTATATTTTTTAAAGCAGAACATACGCACTCCTAAGAAAGAGCCTCTAATTTAAAATCATTCTACAGTTTAATTTCATCCACCACAAACATTCGTTCCCAGGTAATCTGAAAAAGGTAACCTATATAATCGTCACCAGGACTGACTCAGTCAGACTACATGGACTGAATCCTCACAGTACCGCCTCCCAGCTGTGAGGTTGGACAAACTGCCTGATTACTCAGTACCTCATTTTTCTATAAAGTGATGCTGGTAACAGTAATTACATCTTAGGATTACTGTGAGTTAATTATGTGTTAATACATATAAAGTGCTTTGAACAGTTCCTGGCACATAGAAAATATTCAATAAACATTGGCCAATATGTTGGTAATGGTGTAACAAAAAAGTTAAGCTTTGTTACTACGTAAAACATTTATAAGCTGGTAAAGAATGGATATTTTTTAAGATAACATACAAGAAAAAATGTTGATAACCAACAAAGAGCATACGCTAAAGAATTTGCAAAAAAAAATTTTTAAATAAAACTATTCCAGTTGTGTATGTTTCAAATTTTATAGATAATTTATTCTTTCATTGTACAATGATTTTACAACTCAGGAATAATGTTTATGTATGTGTGTCCTCTAAGCAGCAGACCATGTAGGATAACAAACAGCCTTTGCCATTTTTCACTTGTAGACTATTAATGGGCAACAACATTAATTGTTATTTATGTTTAAAATTTAATAAGGATGTGAATAATTTTAAATTTTTGCTATGTATATAAAAAAGGAATATTAAACTTGCAATGCTATCTAGCCATTCGTTTTCTAGAAGTATATCAAATGGAATTTATCACAGAAAATTTTTATTAAAAATGTGAATGGACATGAATAATGAATATTAGGAGTAGCCATTACCTATTAAAACCACACTTATCACAAAGAAGAAAATACTATACTAGAGTCACTATTTCTCTTTTCATAAACCTTATGCAGGGGTCCAGCATTTCTATGAACTGACACTAATTGTTTACTGTCTATACCAAAATTTTCTCCAACTGTTGACAAACCAGTCACAAGGGTACCCAGCAGGGGCTGGGACCATTTCTTCTACTAATCTTTTAGGCAATTCCTCCTACATATCTTGGCAGGAAGCCTGTAACAGTTTGAACAGAGTTAGGCACAATATGTGCCGTGCAGCCCAAACTCATTAAGTGCCTTTGTCTCATGCATCTTGTAAAACACAATATTGCAGCCCTGATGAGCAATGCCTCCAAATGTTATGTTAACATTAAGATCACCAGAAACCATTAATTTACTAGTCAAATTACATCTCTCAGCAGCATTTAGACAATGTTCTAGGGAATGATCTGCCTATCACCAAATATAAACGAAATTTTAATGACTGTTTTCCAGGTACTTCAGACACCAGTTAAGAAAGTGTTCTAGAATATACTTAATGACTAATTTGTTATAGGATGAGACTTTAATTTAAACTTTAATTTAAATGTAACACACTCTGTACATTTTTTCCAGGTGTGAACAGGGTCTTCATAGCATTCTGGCTTCATTAAAACACTACTTCCTTTCAAAGAATTAAGGGAAGTCTTCAATTTTGAGTTCCACCTTCTATTTACTTATGTCTATTGCCAGGCCCACATTTTACCTTGCCTCCAGGGCTCTCATTCCACATCTGTAACCTCCCATGTTAAAGTCTATTCCTAGAATGTCTTTATTATCCCAAATAAAGCCTACTAACAGCCATTTCCCTCTGCTTTCAACTCCTCTTGAAAATATACCCCATCGATGAATTATCTCTGACTAGCAATAAGGCAAAGTGACCTTCTCTAAACCCCTCTCAATCAATCTTTGATACCAAAAAATGCATTTATCTCTTTCCTGTTCCACATAGAAACATGTCCATTATTTAAATATCCATTATATTTAAAAATTATGCTTGTTTTTTCTGTCCTAGATTATAAACCAAAAGCTATCACGTTCTTTGCCTGATTTGGTATACAATCTAGATCATCAACATATACAAAAAGGCAATTAATAAGTAATGTGCAACTCATTCATTATCTACAAAATTTGATAAACATCAGGAGCCAATCTGGTTAAACAAAATACTAAACAATTATATTCCTCAACATCAGTGATTTCTTCAACTCAATGATCTGACTTCCTTATTGTCTATCTTTACCTGAGACATATCCCTGATTGATAGGTGGGTAATTCTTTATCTTTCAACGACAAAAACAAATAAACTACATGACAACCTGAGCAATAAGGCAAAAATTGATCTTTAAAGCTGACAAGAAAAGACCAAATCAACAAAGAATAGATCAATTTAGTCATTAACTGTGGACAAGGCCATCACACGCAGGTCAAAATTCAACTGCATTTGATCTAACAATCAAGAGGTCATTTTTTTCTTTTCACCACTTGCTAAATTCTATCCATCCAGGTTCTCTTAAGTCGGTTGTTTAAAATAGTGTAAGGTGATGACAATGATAACATGGCATTTACTGATCTGGAAAATAATTCTGATTTAGAAAAAGTTATAACATGGCATGTTTTTATTGGCTTTGTTTATAATAGATAGTGGGCTAAGATATAAAAGCACATTTTACAAGTGTAAAATCCTCATATTTTGAGCACCACCACAAAAGGAAATACTGCCTCCTGATTTGCTGATAGACAGTATTAAAGGAGAAGGAAAAGAAAATGATTTGTACAAGCAGCTGAGCTCATCATTCAATAGGATCCATAAGAATGATAGGTCACGTGCCACAATGGTTATTTTTGGAGAGCTGAACATGGCAATATTATAAGATCAGCCTTATTCATTTTGTGAATGATGATTCAGAAAAAGTTGACCCAGAAACAAATGAAGGCTTGGAACAACTCAAAAGTTAGGTGCTCTGGGAATTTTGTGGTAACTATAACTTTTTATTAATAAAAAAATATTTCCAAAGCCCCAATAAAGGATTAAAAAATAGGGAAGTTCAAATGAATGTCAGCCCACCCACAGTTATACAAAATAAAAAACATGGAGATAAGACATCATAACATGAAGCTAAAACATAAGGACTGAGGGTTTATTCTGAAGCCTGACTGCCTGGGGTCAAATTCTAGCTCTAGCACCTTCTACCTGGGTGATTAGGGGAAGTCTCATAACCAATCTTGCCTCCTTGTTCTCCTTGCCTCCTTTATCCCAAAAAAGAATAATAATAGTACCTACCTCAAAGGCTTCTTTTTAGGTTAATATGGGTAGGCTCTTAGAACAGTGCTGAGCACATAGGAAGTACTACATGTGATGCTCCTGCTGCTGCTGATGGTGATGACAATGACAACGACCCATAAGCATTCATGTCATTAGTGCATTTCCTGAAAGTATCACCAGATTAGTTTGTGTTTATTTCTTTCATTTAGGTTCTTTTGGCTTAAGCCAAAAGAGATAAGTGGCTGCTTGTTTTCCCATGTTCCTAATGGGATGAAACTGTTCCAGTGAAGCATTCATTTTAGGGGAGTAGTTGGAAATCCCCAACGTGATGAGTCCTCCAGGGGTGAATAATGATACTCACCTGAAAACTGAAGTTAAAAAATTTTTCAGTATTAAAAGTGGTGGCGCCTAGGTGGCTCAGTCGTTAAGCGTCTGCCTTCAGCTCAGGTCATGACCCCAGGGTCCTGGGATCGAGCCCGGCATCGGGCTCCCTGCTCCGCGGGAGGCCTGCTTCTCCCTCTGCTGCTCCCCTTGCTTGTGTTCCGTCTCTCCCTGCCTCTCTCTCTGTCAAATAAATAAATAAAATCTTTAAAAAAAAATATTAAAAGTACTAGGATGGTAACTTTGAAAATTAAAAATGAAAATAATTGCAAAAGATGAGGATGGCAATTTCTAATATGGCAATTACTGTCTGAGATGAACACCAATTCAAGGTCACAGGAACCTCACAAAGACTGTAAGTATTCTATTATACATTACTGCTTTGAGTAAATAGGGACTGCAGTATTTGTATGAGTATCGAGCAAAGAGAACATATTGCAAATACATTTCCATAGCTATCATACCCATTTTACTGCTGCATGTCTAATGAACAGGGGAGCTCCTGTCTTTCTAGACTGCAGAACTGGCATTTGCTTTACAAAGGAACTGTCAATAAAGGGAAGGGGAGATCCCAGCAGTCATCCACGCTACTAATCAACTCATTCACCACTGACACGTGGATTTAAAAGTTGCCCAACATGGAATGAGAAGCCTGTAATACGGTGTTTTAAACACTCTTAGGCATGGGATATAAAATGATCAACAAGTAGTGACCTGGCAACAAATGCATTTTGAACAAGAAAACATTTCAAAACCATTTTTGCTGTGTCCTAATGTTTCAAGCACTTTGCCCAAATATTCATACCCATACCATGCAAGTACTCTCCCACCGGGGTGGACAGGTGGAGGATATTTTTAAAATAATCCTATCATTTTAAGGAATACATTCCTGTTGGTCCCTAATCTTACAAGCTTTGTTTTCAAAGATCTTTGACAACAGGTATTAATAAAGTAGTTATTATTACAATTGGCTACACTTTATGTATACTTAACAATAAATATTAGAGAATATATTGATGATATATAGAACATACTATCATCATTTTTAATTTTCAATTCTTTTCTGGAGGGTCTATTGCCATTAGGGAATATGAGTTGGCAAAAATCACAATTCTAGCACTACTTCTGCCATACCTTTCTAGAAATACCAAATGCTGCAAGCCTCCTGTGGATGAAAACTGTTTTGCAAACATGGAGGAGTACTTCATTTGGTAACTTTTCATTTAACAGTCCTCAAAAGAACCATTTATGGACTGATTATTTCTGGTATATTCTATTTTGAAGTGATTTCTCTAACATTTCTCTAAAATTTATATTGAAAAAAATCACAAAGACAAGGAAAGTGTTACCTGTTCTCATAATACACTATTTAATAGCATTTTGTCCAAGGGACAGGCCAATTATTTTTCCCTTGGAACTATTTTTCCTACGGAACATTCTTCTTATGAAAAACTATTTTAGATATGTAGAGGTATTGTTTTACAAATGAATTATGACAGGATTTCTGTGAGGATGCTAAGTTACCTAAATGAGGAGCACTGTTTCAGATTTTGTAGGGATTCTGGAATCCGACTTTGAAGAGAAATTCAACAGAAGAGGACATTATGGCCAGGATCATTCTAGCTAAATGGAAAACTGAAGCAATTATCTCCTACAGAAAGCCTTTAAATGAAACCACTTTTGTCAATTCTCCAGATAACTTATATAAAAATGATGTTTGGAGCCTGATTCAACTAGAAAACCCTCACCTTTCCTTCACGTATTTGATAATATACAGTCGATCTCAGATAACACAGAGGAAATATAGACTTCAGGGAAACAAAACCAAATTAACACAAGAATATCTAGTGTTTCCAATTCTAATGATTTCTTGGGTAACTAGATTTTACTTCACTTTCTCTGTTGATTAGAAAAATAATTATTAGTGATATATTAATAAAGTAACATTAAAATAATGTATCTGACAGTTTAAGGTAAAGTTTATGCTATGTAAGTTCAAATTTTACTGCCTTTTTAATAATTTGTAAATCATGTTGACACTTTTAAGAAAAATGTCCATATTATCTAAGTCCAAATTTTACTGCTTTCTTATTTCTATTATGTATTTTGGAAATGGAAATCTTTTGACCTTAAAATAACCAAGTAATAAAATAAAGTAGTAAAAGAAATTGAAAAGCCATGCATCTAACTCTTTATTTCAAACCATTAATGAAAGTCAGAAAAAAAAAATTGATGACTTCCACTCATAGCCAACAGAAAAAGGAGGAAAATCCCTCTCTATCCTGAAAGCAAGATCAGTATGAATAAAAATGGATAAATTCTGGTTGGTCAATATAACGGGTAGTTACTGTTGTACTGATAGAGCTTAGTAGTTTACACTTTATAGATATAGACTCTGTATACACAGTTTAAGAGCTTAATCTGATGGCACTATCTTTCTTTGTTGGTTTTATGTGAGAAATTAGTTGGCTACTTACTAAATTTATTTCCCAAAAGTTGCTTATTATTTTGGGAACACTACATTACAAATACTGTAGCATAAAGAAAAATAGGAAAAGATAATGGCCTCCAGCTCTGAAATCTCGGTAACATTTTAATGTTAACGATGATCTGCTTTTTCCTATGACTGGTAACACAAATACTGGAAAAATCCTGTTTGACAGAAATCAAACAAGAAGCTGAAGAAACATGCCAGAAATGTCTCAAAAACACTATTGGAAAGAAAACTACAATAAAGAATGTGGAACCCTTTACACAATAAATTCCTAGGATTTTAAGAGAAGGCTTTGTTACTGACACTCCCACAGTATTTCAACAATTATCATGCTGTCTGCTAATCATTACTTACTAACTAAAACTGCTAAGGACAAAAATGATGCCCATTCCTATAAATACATTCGGTTAAGGAGTTTAAAAATATAAGACCTTTATTCTTAATATTAGTTACTACATATTAAATCAAAAGAAATAGAATACTAATCCTAAGAAGTGACTACTTAAAATAGAAAAATACCACATCCAATACAATACCCAATCTGTTTCTGCTCTGTGCTTTTATTCCTCCAACGTGGCTCCCTGTACAAGTCCAATCTATGTTCAAACTTATTTAAACATATCAAACTGTTCAGAGTTTAAATATGAAATAGTACTCTGACACTTATCCTGTTACTCAAGCTTTTCCTACCAACAAACCTGGTTTCAAGGAGACCCAAAGACAAGCCCTGTCAGAGGAGAATTCTCTAGGCCTCTTCTTTTTTTTTTTACATATGAAAAATAGCATTGTATTAGTTTATTTTATTTTATTATGTTATGTTAATCACCCTACATTACATCATTAGTTTTTGATGTAGTGTTCCATGATTGTTTGCATGTAACACCCAGTGCTCCATTCAGTACGTGCCCTCTTTAATACCCATCACCAGGCTAACCCATCCCCCACCCCCTTTCCCCTCTAGAACCCTCAGTTTGTTTCTCAGAGTCCATAGTCTCTCATGGTTTGTCTCTCCCTCCAATTTCCCTCCCCCTTCATTTTTCCCTTCCTACTATCTTTTTTTTTTTTTTTAACATATAATGTATTATTTGTTTCAGAGGTACAGGTCTGTGATTCATCAGTCTTACACAATTCACAGTGCTCCCCATAGCACATACCCTCCCCAATGTCTATCACCCAGCCACCCCATCCCTCCCACCCCCACCACTCCAGCAACCCTGTTTGTTTCCTGAGATTAAGAATTCCTCATACCAGTGGGATCATATGACACATGTCTTTCTCTGATTGACTTATTTCGCTCAGCATAATACCCTCCAGTTCCATCCATGTCGTTGCAAATGGCAAGATCTCATTCCTTTTGATGGCTGCATAACATTCCATTGTATATATATACCACATCTTCTTTATCCATTCATCTGTTCATGGACATCTTGGCTCTTTCCATAGTTTGGCTATTGTGGACACTGCTGCTATAAACATTGGGGTGCACGTACCCCTTTGAATCCCTACATTTGTATCTTTGGGGTAAATACCCAGTAGTGCAATTGCTGGGTCGTATGGTAGCTCTATTTTCAACTTTTTGAGGAATCTCCGTACTGTTTTCCAGAGTGGCTGCACCAGCCTGCATTCCCACCAACAGTGTAGGAGGGTTCCCCTTTCTCCGCATCCTCGCCAACATCTGTCGTTTCCTGACTTGTTAATTTTAGCCATTCTGACTGGCGTGAGGCGGTATTTCATTGAGGTTTTGATTTGGATTTCCCTGATTAGGGCTCTTCTCTTCTAAATCCATCTCACTGGAATGAATAAGCCCCCAGAAAAGGGCCCACATCCCTGAAATATTGCTTAGCCCTTGTGTTGGACAATAGGGCATCATTAATATCTACTCAGAGTTCCAGTCCAGATATCCCCTGTATTGGCTTCTATTATTACACCTATTGCCTGCTGTTCTTTTGCAACATATGTTTATAAGGAAAAATCTGAAGCCCTCACCCATTCAGCAGACCAAACTCAAGCTCAATATATTTTTATCTTCTATGCATTTATGGCCAAAAACTGACCTTCAATTAAAGAGTAAAAGAATCAAATGAGGCCAAGTATCAACAAATATATTGCAGTTCAGTTTAGGCTTTAGTTTAGAAGTCCAACAAGATTGTCACTTAAGAGAGAACTTCTGCCTCCCAACAGATCAAAGTGTGTTTTCTCTGACTTGTTCCTTAACTGAAATGAAGAAAGAATTTGGATTACTTCTTGAATATACCAAAGCGACTAGTAAATTGAGTCAATCAGCCATAAGGGGTCAAACAAACATTAAGGTAACTGTTATTGATCATATCCACTGCAACTATGTAAAGGGGGCTTGGAATGACATGTGACATTTTCGTACGGTGCTGGTACTTTCAGAGAACATATGAATTTCTAAACTCACAGGCACGAAGAATGCCTGCGAGGTGTTGGCACTGCCATCACCTAGATTCCCAGCTGACTTAGGTATTACAAAATAAAAGCCATTCTTGCCGCATCTCACAAATAAACCTGTGGTTGACTCCATCCTAGTCCTCTGGTTAAGCACAATTAGATGAACAAGCATAATTCATTCCTTATATTCCATGAACAGCTGAGGAACTGAGGTTTTCTTCATGTGCATATAGGGGCACAGGAGGAAAGGAAGTACTGAACTGTCCTTCAGGATGAG